CATTCATTTTAACCCCTGTCCTCTTCAACGAAAAGAACACGTCTGAACTTTTAATGTTGCTCCACAGCAGGAATGCCGTCTAAGATCATGCAAAAAAAAAAAAAAAAAAAAGCACAAACAGAAAGCCCGCCCGTACTCAGTTACTATCAAATGTCACACGCCGCGTAAATTATAAACTGTTTTGAAATAAAACAAAACCTAAAGTCTCCGTGGTTTTAAACCCACAACAACAACAATAAAATGCCGTTTGGCGTTGGGGAAAACACAGGATGGAAACTGCAAACACGAGCTAAGTGAGGCAGGCACACAGGGAATCGCGGCGGTCTGTTAGCTAAAGTGCTGGAAATACACATTCGAAAATCACATCTTGCATGCTGGAAACGAACAACTGTTTGACATCTGGGCTGCCGCCGAGAAAACCATGCCGCCGCGACAAGTCGCGAGCCAGCGGCCGCCATCCTCGATGGAATATTTAAAATCTCCCATTTCCACCGAACTCCCACCCACCAAAAAAATCTCTCGCGCGCGTGCACACACTCACACACACCCCCAGTCAGAACAAAGAGGGGTCCCAGACTTCCCCCGTGTGTATGGGGCAGTCGGGGCAGGACCACAAAAGGCAGGTGTTTGGAATGGAGGTGTGGAGACAGACAGACAGATGCCCATGCACCCCCGCTGCTCCGCTGGCGGCGGGGATCGGCGGCGGACCAGAGGAAGACAGACAGGGCGTGGGATAGGTGGCCCCGCGGGGCGGGGATCATCAGGGGGTCACCTTGGCGCGCCCAGGCTGAGGGGGCTCCTCCCGTGCTTCCGAAGCGCGTGGTCTACTCCGGTCGCACGTCGGCCTGGGTGCGGGTACCAGCCGCAGCAAGAGGCAGCAGTAGCGCCCCGGAGTCTGCGGGAGGGCGCGGGCGCTCTCCGTGCCAGGTGAGCCGCGGCGGCGGCGGCGGCGGCAGGTAAACCGCGGGCTCCACTCGCGCCGGCTTCCGCCGCCGCGCGCCAGCCTGGCCGCCTGGCCTTACACGTTCCCAACACGGGCGCGCCCCCGTCCACGAGCGCTCCCGCGCGCGGGAGCCCCGGGAGGCTTGCGCGCGCCCCCACAGGTTGGGATTGCGCGGGGCGCGCGAACAGCAGAGGGCGGACCCAGTCAGGTGAGAGCTCCGGCCGCACTCTGGGTGGGAGAGGGAACCTGGGGGCCCAGAGTGGCACTGTCACCCTCCCTGCCTGCTGCCCTTGGTCCCACCCCAGCTGGTTGTCCAAGGCTTACACACCTGGGCTGGTGCAAGAGAGCACCGCCTGGGAGCCCTGTGACCTATTTTGTTCTTGAGGTTTTTTCCAAGTGTCTGGAGAGTCCCGGCCTGCAGCAGCAGGGGCAGGGTGCTCCGGGTCTTTTCCTGAAGGGCTACATTCCTGTTCAAAAGAATAGCTCCGGGTGGTTTTCTGGAGTAGCAGCAGGAATACCGGGATGAGCAGGTTAGGGACGCAAGAAGCAAAATGCTTAGCCAGATATGTTGCTGGCCACAATGCATCCTTTCCAGAACATCCTTCCTTCTCTGGGTGTGTCCTGGACTGGCTTCATTATTACTGTGTGTGGGAGCATTTGCTTAACTGGGTATGTGGTACCGCTGTGTGCATCATCATTATCATTATCAAATTGTCCTTATTAAGTGCTCCTTGAGCTGGGTTTTCAAATAGAAATCATTTACTGAGTTCCTGCAGAAGCTTCCTGCAGATGCTGGCCAAAACCCAATTCATTGAGGTACTGAAGAGACCGAAGTGGCAGTGTTAACTTATTTGTTCATTTTTTTTTTTTAAGTTTTTTTTATTTGTACATACAGAACTGGGGTACAGGCCAGAGGCTCAGGGACGGTGAGAGTCTTCACCAGAGACAGAGTGGGGAACAGAACAGGCAGATGGACGAAGTACACTGCTGAGGGGAGCAGCGGGCGGGTCAGGAGAGGTCTGCCATGCCATGTGGTCACCTCCAGGGCAGGCGGGAATCGAACTCATGAGGAAGTGGCTTTAGCTTCTCAGTGCAGTGCTTTAACCCGTTGCACCACCAGGGAGGGCCCCTTATTTGTTCATTTTAACACACCCATGGGTTCCAAGATTGAGAACTTGATAGCCATCTGCTTTAATAAACCTGTGTCTCTTCTGGGTAAACAACAAGCCATCTGCTTTAATAAACCTGTGTCTCTTCTGGGTAAACAACAACAGCAACAACACAAAGCAGCCGAGAGATCTTAAGTTTATAGATGACCTTACCGTTTGAAGATGAGAGAAGCCTTGCTATTCTGGTCTTTCCCTGTCAGACTTGAAGGCTTTACCAAGGCCTTTCTCTAGCATTGCAGAAGGGCCCGCCACCAGCAGACCTGCAGGAGCTCCTTCCTGTGGAGGTATGGGCCTGGCCATCCCACCTCCCACTGGACTCGCCGTAATTCCCAAACCCAGCGCTACAGGCTCATCCACCCCTGGCTTCCCCGTTTTCCATCAAGCAGGCCTTGCCTCCACAACATCACTCTAGCTCTCCCTGCAGATCAGTTCTCAACTACAAGCCAGTAGTGCAGCAGCGAGACCAGATTCTGCACTGGCAACCCTCTTTCCTGGTGATTCTGATACTGCTGATCTATGGAACACACTGAGAAGCAAGTTTCTATGGAATTGTAAGAATTACTTATACCAGCTGGGGAAAGCAGACACCAGCACTTTCCAAGAACCATACTAAAGACTGGGTGTACAGTTTCAGTTAGTTGTGGCCTCTCTCCTTAGAGACGAGCATGTGTCTGCTGATGGCAGCTACCTCAGAGCAAGAGTAACAGTGGCCAGCAAATGCTGTAATGTAATGCAAAGAAAGGGTGTGCTTCTCTTTTTTAATTTCTGGATGAATCAAACCATCTTTAGAATAAATCAGTGAGAAAAAAATATCTTTTAAACTTCATATAACAGTTTCAGCAGGATCCAGTTCAAATTATAGTTGAAACTTTAGGAGATTGGCAGAGCAGTTTAGGGAAAGAAAATGCACATCGCTAGCTAAGTACTACTCCAGACAAGAACACTGAGGCCTGCCCTGACCTACCTACCACACTCACTGTATTTCAGTACGTTCACTCCCCAGTGTGTTCGGAAAATGAGAAAAAAGAAAGACCCGAGGAAGGGAAAAGATGTTGAGGTGGATGGTAGAGGTATGCCTCTTTTTTGCAGTGAAACCAAGGAGCTTAAAGGAATAAACAGAGGAAATTTACTGCTGGGGCTTGCCGGTGGCTGACCCCAGGGTCAGGAGCTACAGCAGTGTGAACACTCAGCAACTCTAGCGTCCGAGGACCCACTGTGTCCTCACAGGTCTGCTCGGCCACCCTTTCCCCTTGAATGAGTGTTTACTTGTAAGAAAAAGAGTATACATTTTACTGTCCTCCTACTTCTGTGTTTACTGATGTATTTGTTCAGACTTTTGTTGCCAAGAGGCAGGAATCCAATTCAAGCTAGCTAGGGAAAAATGGATTTTGTGGTCTAGCGTGACTGGGAAAGATCCTGGCATGGTTCATAGAGAAGCTACAGAAACCAAATTCTGCTGAGGCTCTCAGCCAGTCCCTGCTCCTGACTTACCACCCTCAAACTGCCGTTTCCTAGACACATAGCCCCAGGCAACCCTGGGCTTGCAAGCTGAGACCATCTCAGTTTGTGAGAGAAGTTCCCACAGAGAAGCTGGACTCTGCGCTAGCCAAGCACTAAATGGGAAGAGGTGAATCAGATGGCACAGGCCTGGGCCATGGAATGAGGAATGCTTAAAAGTAGCTGTTTGAATTCTCCTAGAGAAAAAGTGAGGTGGACATCAGGCAGTGAGATACCAATGGCCTTTGATGGGCAGGTCAGAGGTTTTGCATGACTTTCAATAATGTGGGTCATAAAGTAGCTCCAGCACCCTTCAACTTGCTACTTGCCCCTCCCACTCTCCTCCATCTCCTGCACAAGTTTTTCCTCCAGCCCCTCCCACTACCTCTTGGGCCTTGTGGTCAGTTAAAAAAATGGTTCTCAAAACCCCTCCCTAGTCCCCAGAACCTGTGATTATTGCATTCCATTGCAAAGTGAACTTTGCAGACCTGATTAAGAATCTCCAGATGGGGAGATTATTCTACATTATCCAGACAGGCCCATCATCTCAAAGGTCCTTGTGAGTGGAAGGTGGAAGAGCTAGCGATGGCAGAGGAAGATCTCAGGACAGAAACAGGAGGAGAAAGACAAAGAGATCCATGTTGCTGGCTTTGAAGACAGAAGAAGCGGGCAGCAGCCAAAGGATATGAACAGAGTAAGGAAATGGAGTCTCTCTGGAGCCTTCAGAAAGAACACAGCTCTGGGGACCCAATTTTGACTTCTTGTCTTCAGAATAAATTTGTGGCATTGTTGTTACTACATTCATGCACTATTATTAACGAAAACTTTATCGTTTCCCTGAGGGTGTACTGAAGGGTGTATAAATTCCATGGGTTTTAGTAAAGTACTGATGGTGTGTCTCTACCTTTACAGTATCATATAGAACAGTTTCACTGTCCTAGAAATGTCCTGTGCATCTATTAATCCCCTGGCTCCAACAGCCCCTGGTCATTTTATGGTCTCTAGAGTCTGCCCTTTCCAGAATGCCACAGAGTAGAATCAGAGAGCAAGTAGTTTTTCCAGATGGCCTTCCTGTGCTTGGTAACATGGGCATAGTTGTTTGCCACAGGGGAGATGTCACTCTCGACACCTCTTGGGAGAATCTGGGACCTACTCTCACCATGAGTGTCAAAAGTGTTGGCGCAGCAGAGATGATGTCTGATGGGGAGGGCCAGTGTTTCCCCCTGAGCACATGGCAGTTGAGGAGGAAGAAATGGATGCACGATGACAGGGGAAATGGACTTAAGGGCACTGACAGTTAGCAGTCAAGCCAGTGATTTGCCATCGCTATGAGCAACAGCACCCCACACTGCCAACTCAAAGCTGCTGTGTCCCATTGGCCAGAGTCCCTGGAAAGTATCTTCATAGGGCATCACTCTGCTGCTATGATTGTACAAGAACCCAAGGAGAGGAGCAGAGTGATCAGTGTCGTATTGACTCTGTGACCCACCAGGGAGTGAGTGCTATTCACACACACTAAATGCTTTGAATTTGAGATCAAGAGTTCAATGTCTTTGTAGGCCAACTTGACAACACAGGCTTTCTTTGCAAAGAAGTCCAGGGGGGTCTAGCACTTGAATCCTGTGTTTGCAGTCCCTCTCTTTTCTTGTGACCTACATTTAATTATACCTGATGGACTTCCCTGTGAAGTTTGAGATAATGTGGACTGTGAACAAAGCACAGCCTTTTCTTCTGAGGAAATTTTAAGAGTCTGGTGTCCTGCTCCTAGTTGTGCCTCCTTGAAAGGAGGAAAGAAGATAGTTCAAGAGTGGCTAGAAACAGGAAAACAGAATTTTGCTGATGTGTGAGTTGCTTCCAGATCTTCTTTTACTGTATCAGGAGACTTAGGGAGTCCATTGTAACCTGTAATTTTAGCCAAAATGTGATTCTTCAGCATGTCCCCTCTCCTGCAGCTCTTGAAATATTGACTTGAAATCAGGATGGGTGAGATGAAGAAAAAAGAGGAGGAGAGGAAGAAATAACCAGGTCTGGGATGCTAGTTCAGTGCCCTGTCCTTGATTTGTGTAGGACATAATGTATGTTCCTCTCTATGCAACTCCTTCAGCAACATAAAGAAGTTGGGGGTACTCAATTTATAACTCCTATTTTTTTAAAGATTTATTTATTTATGCATACAGAACTGGAGTACAGGCCAGAGGTACAGGGGTGGTGAGAGGAGACAGAGTGGGGAGCAG